AACCATACTGAGGTTGCTCTTCAAAAGCAAGAGCCTGCCTTTCTGTCTTCTTTGATGAGTAAATATAGTTTATGATATACTTGAGGTATCAAAGATGCAAGAATTGTAGAGCTATGTGGCAGGTTAAGAAGTTTGATCAGTGGCTGCGTGCGGTGGCCCACGCCTATAATCCTAGCACTTTGCGAGGCTGAGGCGGGTGGGTCACCTGCGGTCAGGAATTCGAGACCAGTCTGGCCAACATGGTGAAACACTGTCTCTACTAAAAATAAAAAAAAGTTAGCCAGGTGCGGTGGTGTACACCTTTAATCCCAGCTACTCGGGAGGCTGAGGTAGTAGAATTGCTTGAACCTGGGAAGCAGAGGTTGCAGTGAGCTGAGGCCATGCCCTTGCACTCCAGCCTGGGCAACAAGAACAAAATTCTGTCTCAAAAAACAAACAAACAAAAAGAAGTCTGGTGAAGATGCAGATGGTTCATTGCTTGTGGAAATTATCTGATTTTAGCACTTTCTGCAGTAGATAGTCAACTTTCAGGCATGCACACCTAAAGTAGAAAAAACGGTTCTTAGAGGCATAGTGTGATGCCGGGATTAAGACCTGCTTTCTGGAGTCAGAGGGACCGAGTTTGAGTCCCACCTCTACCACGTATGTGTAGTGCTGAACAGGTGATTTAACTTCTTTGGGGCTCAGTTTCTCCAACTGTAAAAAGTCATGTAAAGTTCCTAGAAGAGTATTTCATACATTGTAACTAGATTAGTTATCTATTGATGTGTAACACATTAATCCAGATCTTAGTGGCTTGAAACAACAAATACTTCTTATCTCTCAGTTTTTCTGAATGTACATCATAGCCCAGTGTCTCTAGCTCCAGGCCTTTCATGAGGTTGTAGTCAAGCTGTTAACCTGGACTGAAGTCTCATCTGAAGGATAGGGTGGGGACCATGGGGATCTGCTTCCAAACCCACTCACATAGATGCTAGCAGGCCTCAGTCATATGCCATGTGGGCCCTTCCACAGGACTGCCTCACAGCCTGGCAGTCAGCCTCCCCCAGCTGAGTAATCCAGGAGAGGATGCAAGATCCCAAGCTGGAAGCCCCTATCTTCTTGTAACCCAGTCTTGGAAATGCTATCCTATTACCTTAGCCATAGTCTATTTGCTAGAAGTGAGTTACCAAATGCAGTCCACACTCAAGTTAAGAAGGCTTTACAAGGGCATGAATTCCAAGAGGTGGGATCACTGGAAGTCACCCTGTAGGCTGCTTATAGCAGTAACTTGTGCTTTCATTTATATCTCCTCATGGTCTATTCCTGACAATCAGACTGAATGATCTCTGAAAACGTGAGGTAGATCATGATTCTATGCATTAAAAATGATCTCCAGTCTTCCCATTTTACTTAAAAGTCAACATCTTTACAATAGCCTGCAAGGCTTTTCATGCTTACAAATTTATTTTTCTGTATTATATAAAATAATATGTATGTATAATAAATGCTACATATGTATAGCTATATAAACACATGTTTATATTTAGTTATAAATCTGAAATTTCTGTATGGTGTAAGATAGAGATCTATCTCTTTCCAAATGAAGAACCAGGTTTTCCAGCACTATTTATTGATTAAAATACTTTTTTTCTGGCCAGGTTCAGTGGCTCACACCCATAATCCCAGCACTTTGGGAGACTGAGGTGGGTGGATCATGAGGTCAGGAGTTCAAGAGCAGCCTGGCCAACATGGTGAAACCCTGTCTGTACTAAAAATACAAAACTTAGCCAGGTGTAGTGGCGGGCATCTGTAATCGTGGCTACTTGGGAGGCTGAGGCAGGATAGTTGCCGGAAACTGGAAGGCAGAGGTTGCAGTGAGCCAAGATCATGCTGTTGCACTCCAACCTGGGCAAAAGAGCAAGATTCTGCCTCAGAAAATACAACAAACAAAAAACCTTTTTTCCCCTGAGTTGATATTCTACTGAGAACTTGTTCGTCTCTTCCTATGCAATCTGTGTCTAACTGCTGCATTTTTGAGTAAAGATATACCTAGTTGGTCTAGTAGATCATGTAAGATACAGTTATGTTATGATTTTATTGGATTTGAAACATTCAAATACACATAACAACAAATTATAATTGAGAATTATGGAGAACATTTAATAAGTTCCTTTATTTGATAAATTGGAACTAATTTTACTTAAAAGGCTGTGACTTACATTTAAAAGTCCAGTTAGCTACAACACTTAGAATAAAAAATAAATTTCATAACTCTTAGGTCACTGTTTCTAGCTTGTTGATATCCCATACTTTGCTGCTGCTGCTGCTGCTTATAACTGTTCAGAAAATTATCACCAAAATGCCTGTCAAATTGGAAAACCCTCTGGAGTGAGATCCTTGTGTGTGTGTGTGTGTGTGTGTGTGTGTGTGTGTGTGTATGTGTGTGTGTATATATATATATATATATATATATATATATATATATAGAGAGAGAGAGAGAGAGAGAGAGAGAGAGTATATATATATATACAGAGAGAGAGAGAGAGAGAGCGAGCGCCAACTTTCACATAGGCACATCTGTGAATGCCCTGAGCCCCGGGCTTTCTTTTCTGCTATTTGGACTTTGGGGCTTATCTTTGCTTATGATAACTTCAACTAGTAAACAAGAAGGGATAGGTGACAGAGATGAAACCCTCCAGCAGTTTGTTTTGTTGATTCTTATGAACAGTATCGATAAAGAGTTTGCTGAAAGAGGGAAGCATATTGAAATTATTGCTTAAAAAGAGGTGTGTAGAATTTTCAGTGATTTCCTTTTGATAAAAGTTGCCTTATAGCTCTTGTAGTCTCTGTAAATGAGGGTCAGCTGTAAATCAGAATGATCACTCCCAATTCCTTCACATCTACAGACATAAGAATGGAAAATACTGTCATGTAGATGAGTCCTTATTTCTTTTTCTTCTCTATGACTAGTATAACCTTACTTTTCTGGACACCTGGCTTTGGCATCTGGTGAAGTGTGTTAATGTGACAAATGGGGCCATTCTGCCTGTCCCAGATCGATTTTGCTGCAAGACAGTTGAAAATAATACAATCCAGAAATGAATTTATTTTGGTGTGGCAAAAACAAAACAGAAAAAGAGAGAGTACTATGAGGCAGTGTTATGCTACTGGCAAATTTTTCAAACTAAAACCAGATTACTTTTTATTAAATGAGTTTGTGTCCATTAAGCATCAATAAGCATGAGTGACTGAACCCAGAATCCAGTTAAGTATGTATTAACTTTCTGTATTACTTTAGAAAGAGGTATGTCAACCTCCCTGGGTCAGCAGGTTCCTTTGCAGAAGACATTGAAACTAAATGTCAAGGACCTCTTTCAATTCTAGAATACCTCAAGATAGAAATTGCTAACAAATAAGAGAAATGCAGCAAGACGTTTTTAGTTAAAAGATTGATAGAAGCCCGAAAGTTGCAGTGGGCTTGTTAAAAAACCTCCTCTCTCCAAATTCTGGTTTGTTTTTTTTTTTTTTACCAAACCAGTAAACTAAAGACAGTTTGTCATGCTTTGAACTTCGTGGCTTTTGTTGATTTCTATCAATATGTGACTGTTACACATTTTAGTAGGAGCTGAGTTACAGAAAACTAATAAAATCCTTAAAATTCCATTTTCAGTGGGTATTGACAGCATCAAGAAAGTAAAAAAGACTTTGCCATTTTCAGGCAATTGTTTCTTTCAGCTAGACGGAAACTTGAATGGCATTAACTCAACTCACCTTGTTTAAACATTAACCAAGAGACACTTCCTCCTTCTCCTCAAAAGTTTTTAGTGTTCGCAGGAATTTAACCACAGATAGACACAATTCTCCAAATGTCCCTAAAAAAAGGTTGACTGTTCCATAAAGTAATAGCTACAAAAGGCTTTCGACGAATTAGTTATTCACACAGTAAGCTTCTGAGACATATGAGTGTATCCTCTTTCTTACAACTTGGTCACTTGATGCAATCTTTGATGATCATCCTGGGACCTGTGGAGATTAATTATAGAGTTTAGAGTTATAAGTATGATGTGGCCACCATACTCAGGGAACTGGATGACAGTCTGCCAATGGGTTTTCAACATAGATGAGGGCGAACTCATAAAAGGCTAAAAAAGGAGGCAGGCATCTTTGGAAGACTGTTTCCAGGCTCTCAAATGGCCATTGTCAAAAAACAAACTGGGATGGGTTTGACTAAGCATCAGAAGATGCTTCAACAGCAGCCTGTGACAAGTGAGTGTTAAAAGCTCACAAGGCAGAAAAGAACTTTTCAGAGTGACCTTGTCACAAGAAGTTCTAATGTGTGTAGGCTTTATCAGCTGCTCCGAGTGGGGGTAAAGAGGCATGCATATTTTAAACATTCATTTCATATTCAGTGTGTAAAGTAACTACTGCTTTTCAACTTGTGTGGAGAAAGTATTTATCAGTTTATCAAGAAACATACAAGGGAGACCCACCCCATTACCTACTTAGAGAGCAAAATGGAAAATTTTCTGTCTCACGCTTTATCTTTTTTGTTCCATCCTAATAGCTCTTTATTTAAAAAGTGTGAACATCAGTTAATCAGTCTGAGTCTTTCATTTGAAACTGACTTTCTTCATTTTCTGCCCTTGATACTGCATATCAGTCTTTAATCACTTAAACGTAATGAATTTTTCTTTATTCACATCTTTCAATCGATAAACTTGAAAATTTGCAAGCACAGTCCCACTGGTGTATATCCTGATTTTCAAGACCTGCTGCCTCCACCAGTGTTGTGCTTGTTTTTTTGCTTTCTTTTTTTCCTTCCCACACCCCACCTCCGGTATTTTAGGGTACCTTATGTAGATAAGAAGTGAGATAGCTTCATCCTGATAATTAACATGCTTGTTTGAGGTTATGAAATGTACATTTGAGAAAGGCCAGGGATTTCCCCCTGAATATCCACTAACTGCTTGAAGTGGCATTTTCATTCTGACTTGGTGTTTTGTTTTGTTTCACTGCAGCATCCCAGAGCATAGTGAAAGAGTCTATTTTGAAGTCTCAAACGTAGTGCTGTTGCAGACCAGAAACAAGAGAGAAAGAGTGGATTTCAGCCTACGCGGATGGTCTTGAAACACAAATGGTTTTTGGTAAGTCATCCAAAGGACTTGACATCTTTCAGCTTTAAATATCATTAGGCATCACTTCATTGGTGTACCAGGACCTCTTCAGGTGCATTGCTGTTTCTCTGCATCCCAAAGAACAGGACATTTGAGAAGACGTTGCTCTAGTGGCAGAGCTCCGAGAGAGGAACCGCATTTACTTAGGGTATTTGTTTCTGAAACTTGCAGAACAGTCTGATCTGAATAGAATGCATTTGTGGTTAGAAAAAAGAACAAAAGCAAAAACGAAACAAACCCAAACAACTAAACACACAAACAGCAAACAAACTACACCTTCCGGATACTCCATTGTAGCTGAAAGCATAAGGGATTAATCACGAGAGGAAGGAGATTCGATTTATTTGGCAAGGTTTTTGTCTCTGATCATATACAGTCATGTGCCACATAATGACGTTTCAGTCAATGACAGATCACACATTACAGTCATCTTATAAGATCATAATACCGCATTTTTGTTGTATGTTTACTATGTTAGGATTTGTTTAGAGGCACAGATACTTGCCATGTGTTATAGTTGCCTAGGTACTCACTGCTCTAGCATGGTGTCCAGGTTTGTAGCCTAGGAGCAATCAGCTATACCATATAGCTGAGGCATGTACCATCCAGGCCTGTGTATGTACTTGTGATGTTGCACAGTGACAAAGTCACCTAACGATGCATTTCTCAGAGCATATCCCTGTGACTATTGTGATGGGCAAGGTGAGCAATGATGGGGGGTTTCCAAGTCTTGTTCAGCAAACATTTACTGAGTAACCTTTAACTATACATGGGCCCTTGAATGACAGTCTTAATCTGGGGGTTGGATTCAAAACACTCTAAACTGTAAATAAATGATAAAAACATATCCAGATCATACACCAGAATAATGTGGACTTCCCAGGATGTTTTATCGGTCCTGTTTGTGGTATTACCTGGAAGCAGAATCCTCAAATTGAAGCCAGGGTCTGCCCCACCTGTCTTGATCAACTTGGAGAACTTACTCGTCATCTTGGAATGACTTGCCTTTGAAAATGTATGTGGCTAAATGATCTCCAAGGTCTCTTGCAGATTTATAATTCAGTTCCCTCTAATGCAATTAATTAAATAATTATTCACTCCAGTTTTTGCTGAACAGAATTTCTCTGTGGCCTGGGCAGGTCATTTGCAGAGGGGCCCACTGTCTCAGCCAGTGTGGACGAAAGGAACCAGGTCCCCAGGGGTCCCTTCTGGCCCCATTTGCCCATTTGACATCCAGCCCTTTTGTCAAACAGGGCTTTTGGCATCTGAAGTAAATACTTTTTTTTTTTTTTTTTAGGCAAGTCTCACTCTGTCACCAGGCTGGAGTGCAGTGATGTGATCTTGGCTCAATGCAACCTCCGCCTCCTGGGTTCAAGTGATTCCCCTGCCTCAGCCTCCCAAGTGGCTGGAACTATAGGCATGGACCACCATGTCCTAATTTTTGTTTTTTTGTTTTTTTTTTTTTTTGAGATGGAGTCTTGCTCTGTCAGTAGGCTAGAGTTCAGTGGCATGATCTTTGCTTACTGCAACCTCTGCTTCCTGGATTAAAGGGATTCTCTCGCCTCAGCCTCTCAAGTAGCTGGGACTACAGGCATGTGCCACCATGCCCAGCTCATTTTACTATTTTTAGTAGAGATGGCGTTTCACCACGTTGGCCAGGCTGCTCTCAATCTCACTCATGATCCTCTTGCCTTGGCCTCCCAGATTTCTAGAATTACAGGTGTGTGCCATTTTGTACCCAGCCAATTTTTGTATTTTTAAAAGAGATGGGATTTCACCATGTTGGCCAGGATGATCTCAGTTTCCTGACCTTGTGATCCACCCCACTCGGCCTCCCAAAGTTTTGGGATTACAGGCGTGAGCCACCACATCTGGCCTGCAGTAAAAAATTTATTCCCTTGCAACAATTAAAAAAATATGGCACAGTGCTTTATGAACATTATATTCATTTTTACTTATTTGATTTGTATCGTTATTTATTGTTTTGAAACAGGATCTCTCTCTCTCTTTGTTGCCCAGGTTGGAGTGCAGTGGTGCCACCACAGCTTGTACTGGGACTACAGGAGACTGGGTCTATCCTGGCTCTCATTCATAAAGTCTGCACTGAATGTCTAGGACTTTGCTGACTGGTCTCTCTTTATGAACTTCTATCTCATTTAGGGCCTGCAATCATATAAAATGCACTGCTACGCATTGCTCTGTGAGCGTTTGCCATCACCCCACCAGGTATGCACAGAGCTTCAGGGCAGGAATCAGAACATCACAGACCAGTAGCTGAGACTACAGGCATATGCCACCATGCCTGGCTAATTTTTAAATCTTTTCTAGCGACAAGGTCTCGCTATGTTGTCCAGACTGGTCTGGAACTCCTGGGCTCTAGCAATCATCTTGCCTTGGCCTCGCGAAGTGCTGGGATTACAGGCATGCACCACTGTGCCCGACCTGAATATTAGATCGAAATATGCAAGATAGGCTTCTTTTGAATTACTGTCCTTTGTTTTTCTTTAGGGGATCTGACTTTTTCCGCATCTGTGCTTGCCATCATTGTGTTACTGGTTATCTGCCAGCCAGTTCACCCTGTGAATCCCCACATTTTGTTTAACATTGAACAGCAGTTAGTATTTTTCTTTCTTACTAAACCTCCCCTTTCTAAAGCAGAGCTTCAGAAACGATGCTCAGATATCAGCTGGCTTTCTGCCTTTGAGTGGTGCACTATCGGGGTTTCATAACAGCATTTTTTTCTGTCACAAATATTAAATTATGAAGTGCAGGAAACCACATGAATGTGGTAGAAAACAAATGCAAGCATAATGTCACCTGGAAGTGCCAGTCTGGTGATTCTGCTGGTGACAGTATCCTCCCTGTAATCAACATAGGAAGCCTCTTTACCTGCTTGCTGGTGGTCTTCCATCCTGTGTCCTCATCTCTATGTATGTGGTATGCCATGGCCACCTTGTCACGCTGAATCAGGAGGTTTGATTAAGGCAATTGCTTGGGACAGTCTCTATCAAAGTTCTGCCCGACTGCAAGTCCTGGCTGTCACTCACAAAGTCTTCCCTGAATCCTTAGGACTTCACTGACTCGTCTCTGTTTATGAACTTCTCTCACATTTAGGGCCTTACAGAAGGCACCTTACAGAATGTATGCTGTGCGTGACTCTGTGAGTGTTTGCTATCAGCACAATGACACATGGGTCGCATGTGGCTTCAGGACAGGAATCAAATCACAGACCAGTGTTTCCCAAGGGTGCTCTAGTCCCAGCACCTCCTGCTTTCAAATCACCTGAATGTGTTTATTCAGGTTACTGATTGAGAACACCAGGCTTATGAATCAGAAGTTCTGGGCATGTAGAACCCAGGAAAAGTTAACTTGTGCACACTGAGGTTTGATAATAATAGTCTGAAACTAATTATGCCTCCTCCTCTTCGCCTCCTCTCCCACAGAAGAGGGTCCAGGTCTGAGCCTATGGTAGGTGTCCAGGAAATACGTGCTTGTTGATCTAAGCAACATCATGCCATGAGGGTTGCATTCCCTCGTCAATTGCCCAGCCTTTTCAGGATGTGAGGTCAGCATATTCTCTGAACCTTTAGAGACCCACTTTCTTCTAAATACCTAAAGTGTTCCCTAGGGCAGAGGCTCTTTGGGAAATCTATTGTTGTCTCTTTATCTTTGACCGCTGACTCTGTCGGTGGGAGTGACAGGAGCCCCTGACTAAGTTTGGGAGAACAGGATGTCAGCTCTGAGGAACTGGGCTGGAGCAGCAGGCTGGGGGAAAGATCTGAGGGTGGAACACGACTGTGCTCAACTAGAAGCTTTATCCTTGGCTCCCAAAGCCACACCTGCTGCCCTCGGCAGTTTATTCTGAGTGGTATTTCTTTCAGCTGTTAGGCCTCGCAGGTTGTCCGTTTTGGTGACAGAAGGGTGGTCCCACTGCTGAAAAGGATCAAGTTTAGCTCTGGTGGACGTGCATCAAAGCACCGTCAATGCACAGTGGTGGATTCGGGATTTGAATCCAATGTTAGCAGACTGCAGTGGTGACACGTGGCCCTCTCCTTCCCTGTGTCTCCTGCTCCAGCAAGGGTATGCCTGGCCGTGGATCATCCAGGAGAGTTTTGCAGGACGTTGCTGCTTCTGGTGTACCTCCTGAATGCCCTTGCTGTTGGCTCCAGCCCTGGCAGGTGGATCTGAAAATTGAAGTTGTAATCCAAACAGAAGAGCTCCTAGAAGCTTAGCTAGCCTAGAAAGGATCAAGCATGGGCTGGCCGTGGTGGCTCACACCCGTAATTCTAGCACTTTTGGAGGCTGAGGTGGGCGGATCACGAGATCAAGAGATCGAGACCATCCTGGCCAACGTGGTGAAACCCCATCTCTATTAAAAATACAAAAAATTAGCTGGGCATGGTGGCACACACCTGTAGTCCCAGTTACTTGGAAGGCCGAGGCAGGAGAATCGCTTGAACCCGGGAGGCAGAGGCTGCAGTGAGCCAAGTAATGGAGTTGCACCATTGCATTCCAGGCTGGGCAACAGAGTGAGGCTCCATCTCAAAAAAAAAAGAAAGGAGCAAGCGTGTTCATCAGGACATATATTAGCTGTTAACCTAACCACTGCCAAACGCGATAACAAGTTTGTCTGATGACTTTTTCTCTCTTTTGTTGTCTGTTGCTTAGTTCACAGTTTAAGTTTTGGCAATCCTGAATTCAGTTCATGTGAAAAAGCAAGCACCTTTAATCACAGCGTTGGGGAAGGATCTTCTTTCTCCCAGCTCTCTATTCAGTTTTCACTAAAGAAGGTTTGGCAAGCAGAAAGGTATTACTGGGTGGATTCTTCTCAAATTCTCATCTAAGTGAAGGGAGAAAGCACACATTGCTGAAGCAATGGTAAGGGCACATTAGGCTCTTAACATGTGCTTCATGGAGACCCTAGAAGATTTTCTTCTGCATAGCTTCTTTCTATCCGATGGGAGGGAGGG